ATGCGAGCACAGCCCAGTGAGGATGCAGGTGAAGACCCAAACCAACACGTGACTCCCTTTTCGGTGACAGCAGTGATCTTATCAGAGGGGTGGATTCCAGCTGCTTTGAGGCCCCACGTGGGGAGGTACAGGAAGACCTCAGGAGATCGGGGGGAGGGTGAAGAAGGAGAAACAGAGGAATGGCTGTGTAGACCACGGTGGTGGGAGGGCCCCTGGCTTGGTATTGAGGTACGCACTGAAAGACAGTGCTCGGAGCTGGGGGGAGGGTGGGCCAGATGAGGCTGTAGGGATTCTGTCTTTTCTGAAGACTCTGAGAATCTCAGGCAGAGGGAAGAAGTGATGTGAGAAGATTTGCATTTTGGAAAGAGGACTTAGGACGAGGGGAGGGAATGGATTGGAGGGGGTAAAAGAGAGTGTGTGGAAACCAGTTAGTAGACGATGCAACAGCCCAAGAGAAAGACAGTGGTGTCTGGTTCTTGATGATGGAGGCACAGAGCATCTCACCCTTGGTAGTTTATTGGAATCACCTGTGGGGCTTTTAAAACAACCAGATGCCCCGGCGGTACCCTAGATTCCCTGAAGCTGAGACTGTCTTACACTGATGTAACCTCGTTAGAGGACAACTGGGAAATATTTATCAGCTTTTAAATGTTCATGCCTTTTAACTAAGGATTTCTGCTTCTGGATATTTATCTTTCAGATATGCCTTCACATTGTATGTAGAACTATATGCACAAGAATATTCATTACAATAATGTTTATAATAGTAGAAGACTAGGCACCACCTAAATGCCCGTCCAATAAAACACTGATTAAATGATGGTGCAGGCTTTAAAAGTAATGATGTAGAGTGTCAAAGGTGAGAGAGAAGCAAACTTTTCATTGTAAATTCTTTGTTCCCCATAAGCATTTTAATTTAAATTTTAGCTTATTTTTAGAATAGGTAAGGGGTTGAGGCGCCACAGTGGCTCAGTCGGTTAAGCACCTGACTCTTGATTTTGGCTCAGGTCATGATCTCAGGGTCCTAAGATTGAGCCCCAAGATGGGCTCTGTGCTGGGCGTGGAACCTGCTTGAGAGTCTTTCTCTCCCTCTCCCCCTCTCCTCACCCCATGTGCACATGCTCTCTCTCTCTCTCTAAAAAGAAAAAAAAAAAAGGAATAAGTAAGGGGTTTACATGGTTTAAGAATCAAAACAATATGAAAAGACATACATTAAGAAGCTTTGCTCCCCCTATGGCCTCCCATCACATTCCCTACCTCCCTTCTATCAGTAGCCAGCCTCCAAGATGGCCACCAGTGATCCCCATCTCCTGGTAGTCACACACTTGTATAGTTCCCTCCTTCACTGTTGGTCTGTGTGACCAATAGCATATGGAAAGAACCATGGCCTGTCACTTCTCAAATTAAGTAATAAAAGACACTGTGGTTGCCATCTTGAGCACTCTCTCTCATTTCTTGGATCATTTGCTCTCGGGGAAGCCATGTTGTAAGCTGCCCTGTGGAGAAGCCCACATGCTGAGGAACTGAAGCTTCCTCCAGCTAATAGCCAGTAAGGAAGTGAGTGAGGCCGGCCAGTAAAGACGTGAGTGAGCTCAGAATCACATCCTTTAGCTCCAGTAGAGCCTGGAGATCACTGCAGCCCCAGCCGACAGCTTGACTACAGGCTCATGAGAGATCCTGAGTCAGAACTCCCCAGCTAAGCTACTCCTGGATTCCAGACCCCCAGAAACTGTGAGATAATAAATGTTGTTTTAAGCTGCTAGGTGTGGGGGTAACTTGTTACACAGCAACAGATAACTAATACACTATTTTCATTAGTTTATTATTTATCCTTCATGTTTCTTTATGTGAATAAGAGCAAATATAAATATATATTTTTATTTCCTCCCTTTTCTTACCTACAGAAAAAAATGGTGTACTGTATATACCCCTATTCTACGCCTTTTTTTTCTTCACTCAATTATACTTATTGGAGATTTCATATCTTTACATAGAGAATGTTCTCATGCTTTTTACAGCTACTTAATTCCCTTGTTGCTGGACACTTGGGTTGTTTTCCACTTGTCATTATTGCAAACAATGCTGCCGTGAATAACTTGAAAGTATATCCCTTCCTATGGTACAAGGTACCTGTAGGAGAGAATTCCTGAAGTGAGGTTGCTGGGTCAAAGGTACATCTTGTAACTTTGGTAGATGTTGCCAGATACCCCTCCTTAGGGGAAGTATGCCCTTTAATGTGTTTGAATTTTGAATCATCTGCCTGTTCTGCCTTTAAAAATATCTCTGCTGGTGATTCTAATACTCACGTGAGGTGGAGAACTCCCCACTGCTCTACAGTCATCTGATTTGATGCTCTGGGGGAACAAGGAGGGAAAGGGTTAAAAACCAAACTCTCCACATGCTTTAAAACATGCACCCAATTGGGGCACGTGGGTGGCTCAGTTGGTTAAGCAACTGCCTTTGGCTCAGGTCATGATCCCGGAGTCCTGGGATTGAGCCCTACATCAGGCTGCCTGCTCGGTGGGGAGCCTGCTTCTCTCTCTCTCCCTCTGCCCCTCCCCCTGCTTTTTCTTGCACTCTCTCTCTCTCTCTCTCTCTCTGTCAAGTAAATAAATAAATAATCTTAAAATAAAAAGGCGTGCACCCAATAAAATTTCAAACAGCCGCTAATGTGAACACTCAGGAGAACTCAGAAACTGGGCTGGGAGCTCCTGTGATAGTCTGTAGCCAAGGGTGACGTGGACAGTGGCTTTGGGCTCAGCAGGCTCCTGATAAAGGAAAGCAGCACCGATCTGCCTGGTGTAGGTGCAGACCGCCACGGCTCAGGGTCTGTGTGGGAAGACTCAGCCACTCTTCTCGATGACAGCCTGAGATGGAGCCAAGAAAACAGGACAGGGCATGGGGGAAGGAAAGGGTGTGCTGCGTTATGGCTTGACAAGGCTGGCCGGAAAGAGTTATAGCTGTTTTATTATGTTGGAAAATGGAGTATTCTTAATATAAATTCATGGTGGGAAAAAAATGCTCACCTCCACAGGCCAGCCAGCTGTCTCTATTATGGATCACTCAATTGTATTTCCACTCAACACTACGTGAGGAACTACCCCAAGCCATTGGGGAATGTTCTGCATTAATAATGAGTCTAGATTGTGTCCAGAGAAGTAAGTCATTTTCAGAGCAAACAGGACAGGCCGACTCTGCTTTGACTCTCTTCTGCAGTTATAATTTTAGTTAACATAATATTTTCCCATTGTTCAAAGATTTTGGCAGCATGTCTGTCCAATAGAAGACGGGCAAAATTCCCTTCATGTTTGAAAGCTTACTTTACGATATAGCAATGCAATGTAATGTAGTTGGGGAAAATGTGGGATTTATTATCAGAAGATTACATTTTGAGTCTGGTGCTATCACTTATTAGCAATTAATCTTGGCGAGCCATTAACCTTCCCAAACCTTAGTCTCCCAGCTGGTAAGTGAGAATAAGAACAATTGCCTTGACTACCCCACAGGGTGGTTCTCAGGACTCCCCTCCAGAAAGAAATACTGCAAAATGCCTTAGAAATAAGTGTGTGGTCTGTGCCTGATTACACAAGTGATTACTTCAGAGCCTTGATTTCATAACTTCAGTGCCTATCCATTGTAAAATTCTCCTCGATCTGAAATGATTGAATTGACTTTCAGAATTGTGTATTGTTCTCATAAGACGTCACTTTCCCCATGTCCTCAGTATCAGGCTTTTAAAATGTCAGCTTGGTTTTCACAGAGTCACAAACAGAAGCTGCCCCAGCCCTGTGGATGGCAAAGCCCTTCCTTTTGCTCTTTCCTGCAGCCTTGGTCATCCATGACTCTTCTCTCATATCCATAGGAAGATGGCCTCTTCATATCAACCCATCAGCAAAGCTTGTAGGCTCTACCTTCAATATATAGCCAACAGTCTCACCAGTTGTCACCATCCTGGTTGGGGCCACCAGGCTTATTGCAAGAGATTTCTCCCAGCTCTCCATGCTCCATCCTCACCTACACCGAGTACGCCTTTTATGACAAAGCCAGTTCATGTGACCACACTGCTCAAAACCCTCCAGGGACCCTTCCTCACTCAGATCCCACTGCTGCCCGTGAAGCCCATAGGGTCTGCCCCTTGTTGGCCTCACTGGCCTCGACCCCTGCCAGGCTCAGGTTGCTTGGGTCCACCTATCTCTTTGCCTTTCCTGAAATGTGCCACACACGCTCTTACCTCTGCAGTTTGCAAATGCTGTTCTTTGCCGAGGATGCTCTTCCATCCAAATAACACACATTCACTCGTCTCTTCAGGACTCTGCTCAGGGGCACTGTATCTGCCTGCAGCCTGTGAAACACAAGCCCTCCCTGGCCCGGGCACATTCTCTCTCCCCTCTCCTGCTTGTCTCCACGGCACTTTACCCATCTGACATATATATTTGTTTGTCTATTGTTTGTCTTCCCCCTTCTTCGCTCCCACACCTGCTGCCAAATGTAAGCTTCACAAAAGCAGAAACTGTCTTATTCATTGTTAAATCCCCAGAGCCTAGAAGAGTACCTGACTTGGAGTAGGGATGCATGAAATAGTTGAGGACTGAATGAACAGGTGAAGAATGGCTCACCTAAGTGTGACACGTACATAAGTAGATATGTAGATAAGTTGATATTATAGTTATATGATAGCCAGCGAAAATGAACTTATTTTCTAATATTTATAGGCTATTTATATCTCTCCTTTTATAAACTGTCTTTCATGCCTTTTGTGCATTTTCCCTATGGAAATTTTCCCAGCTTTTATTTTCTGCATTCTTTATATATGAAGAATTTTTGCTCATAGACATATTTTCTGTTTTGAAATGTGCATTGTGGAATAAGACACTGCTTTAACTGAAGGTGTCTAAAATGTCTTTTAAGATGGAATAAGTTACTAAAAAAAGGACTGAATAAGTCAGTACTGTATGAACCATTTCCTTCTTCTGTTTCTCTAATTCCAATTGGATTCCCAGAATTGGACTCCTGTGCCTTGGGGGACCATGGCTGTGAACACTCATGTGTAAGCAGTGAAGACTCTTTTGTGTGTCAGTGCTTTGAAGGGTATATACTCCGTGAAGACGGGAAAACCTGCAGAAGTAAGTTTTTACCGGGGTTGTCTCACGTGGCTGTGTCTGATCTTTGCATGAATTCCACCATCCTGATCTCTGTTGAAATCAGTTACCCTCAAAAGCCACTGCTACACGACTGTTAAATATAATGTGGGGTCCTGGATGGAATCAGAAAAATGACATCAGGTTAAAAACTAAGGAAATGTCAATACACCAGGGACTTTAGTTGGTCTTAATGTATCAGTGTTGGTCAATTAATTGTAACAGATGTATCACATTAACACAAGTTGCTAACTGGGTTTGAGGTTTATAGGAACTCTGTGCTATCGTCTCCATTTTTCTGTAAATCTAAAACTTTTTTTTTTTTTAAAGATTTTTATTTATTTGAGAGAGAATGAGAGAGAGAGAAAGCACATGGGGGGGAGGGTCAGAGGGAGAAGCAGACTCCCTGCCGAGCAGGGAGCCCGATGCGGGACTCGATCCAGGGACTCCAGGATCATAACCTGAGCCGAAGGCAGTCACTTAACCAACTGAGCCAAAACCAGTTAAAAGAAAACAAACAAATGGACAAATGAAAAAAGCCAATGCTAGAGCTACAACTGAAGTTGCTTGTGTATGCCCTGTGGCAAGAAACAAGATTCTAGCAGCTTCTAGCCCTGCCATTTATTAGCTGGGCAAGTTGTTTGACTTCTCTGAGCCTCTGTTTATCTTTAATAATATTGTTGTTGTTGCTGGTAGCACCAGTCTCTCATAGAGACCACCTTATGATGTGCCCATGCTTATGTCTCAGAAAGCAAAGCCTCTTAGATGGGGCCAAGATGCATCTCTGTTAATCAAAGGCGAGCATGTAACCCTGAGCAAATGATTTTCATCCCTATCAGTCATCTTTTCCTCAAGCTTCTCAAAGCACTTTGCAAAGAGCAACTTGTGCTGACACGTTTGAAGAAAAGATAGGTAATTGGAATTATGACTCTCATTTTTTCAGACAGACAGGAAAGGTAAGGCTCCAAGAGGTTAAGTGATTCTCCAAAGCCATATGTCAGGGACAAAGCCAAAATTAGATTTCAGTGCCACTAATCTAAATTGAGGTTTAATCTTCTAAGTAATCATATCAGACCAACAGTGTTTCCTTTTGATATCAGAAACTGCATCTGCAGAAAGCCAATGATTGATTGCATTTAATGAGATATTGAAGTAGATGCTGGTAAGTGATGGTGAGGATGATAGTGAGGAAGTTTGAAGAGTTAACCTAAATTAGACCCACTGAACTTCATCCTCAATTTTACTTTCCTCCCATGGATCACTGAGCTCAAGGGGGCCTGGGGTCTGGTGGCTGAGATGGGTGGATCCTCCAAGGTGAAGCCTAGGGAAAATTTATGTTGGTGAAATTGCTTTGACTTGCTCTTCTGTCCTCAGGGAAAGATGTCTGCCAAACAGTCAACCATGGCTGTGAGCACATTTGCGTGAACAGTGATGAGTCATACATCTGCAAGTGCCTGGAAGGATTCCAGCTTGCCGAGGATGGGAAACACTGCCGAAGTAAGTGGCCTCCAGGTAGAGGTGAACTCTTCCATCTGCGGGACACGGACCATGAGATAACTAACTTTAATATTTAAAATCTTCCCTTATAATCAATGTTACAATGACAAGTTCCTGCCTTGGGTGATCTGAAAGTGTTTGCGAGTGATCCTTACAGGAGACCCTTAGTTCTTCAGGATTTTCTCAGTCAAGGTCCCGAGTTGTCAGGCTTTTTGCATCTCTCCATTTTCTCCCAGTTGCTGGCCATTCCACAACCATTGTGTGGATGCCCAGAGCCTCGCCCAGAGCCTGGCTAATCATTGGACAGAATTAGAATCTCTGCCAGCAATCACTATGAGCATCAAAGGATAATTACAGTGCTTTTTCTTCTTGGAAGACCTTAAAAGTAAGGTGTAGGGTGGGAGAGGGACGAAGGGATTTTTCTGTGGGTTTTATTTATCCACTTTCTCTATTGTTGCCTCTGTAGGTCGCTCAGAACAGATTCTGAGAGTTTACTGAGAAGGTGCATTGGGTTCCCCAGAGAAACAGAACCAATAGAGTGTATGTGTGTGTGTGTGCCTATATAAAGAGACAGAGAGAGAGGCAGATGGACATAGAGAAAATCTGCCAGCAGTCTGGAGACCCAGGAAGAGCTGATGTGGCAGCTCTTATCCAAAGGCAGTCCAGAAGCAGAATTCCTTCTTCCTTGGGGTGGTGGTGGAAGATTCAGTCTTCTTTCTCTTAAGGCCTCCAAGTGTTTGGATGAGGCCAACTCTATGGAGTGTACTCCACTTTACTCAAAGTCTAATGTCGGAAATGTTAATCTCATCTAAAAAATACCTTCACAGCAGCATCTAGATTGGTGTTTGACCAAACAACTAGGCACCATAGCCTAGGCAAGGTGACATATAACATTAACCATCACAGCACTGAAAAAAGAGCCAGACGGGACACATGAGCTTGGTAAAGTGGGTATTAGAAGAGCACAGGGCAAGGATTTTTCTCCCCTGGGAGATTCTGAGCTCTTAGTCCCTATTTGGGGATGTGGGCGGGGGGTAGTGTTGAAACTGTCTACTTGCTTTTGTTGATATCTGCTCCAGTGGACAGGACGGCTCTTTTCTCATTAAGGCAAAATCAGTTCATTTGCTTTTCAAGTTGATTTGGGGGAATTTCCTCACAGACTCCTTTGAGATAGCTTGGGACATCCCACATGTCAACCAAGCTGGCTTGGGTGGAGTTCACTGTCTTCATTCCTCCACCAGGAAGAGGGTGGAGGTCTTCATTCCTCCTACCTTTAGCAGGATGTTCTGTTTGAACAGCTGAGCCCTGGAATGCCGATAGGACCCTGGCCTAATGCTGCAGATCTCCCTGCACAATCCTGTTTTGCCTTCACACTGCAGTGTCCCCTCGGTGGAGACCAGGTCTGCAGTTCTGCCCATTGTGTCTGTCAAGCTGTCTGTTCACGGTTTTATTTCTGTGAATGCAAGTGTACACACGTGTGCCATTTATTCATGCAACATATTTTTTTGCTCAGCAAATTGAGCTATTGTATACTGGGCACAACATCTACCTCTGGAATTTGATCACTAGATCAAATACCACCATCCCCCCTTCTAGGGGGAGATTCGTAGTTACCTATCCCAATTTTATAGGAAGCTTCTCCTTCTAGGGAGCTAATGACAGAAAAGAGCCATAGGCTTTCATGTGGTGGAGGAGGAGAACACAGGAGACGCGTGTCTCAGCTGTGCCACCAACTTGCTGCATGACCTCAGGCGACTCCATGACACATTTTGAGTTTCTTCATGTATACGCTGGGTATAATTATTCTTGCTTTAGTCTTCTCAAAAGATGTTGTGAAGATTGGAGGGCTGTAACTACTCTGAAGCATTTAAAGTACCTCACACATGAGAAATGTTCATTAATTGAAACTGGAGTGTTTGGGATGTCTATGGGAAAAAGTCAGTAGCTTGGGAAAATCAAAACCCAAGGCAACATCAAATAATTCTAAAAATTAATAAATACAGGATACCTGATCATCCATCTTACCATTCAGGCTTGTGGGGGCTGGGGCTTTCTGAGAGGAGCTTCTCCCTTCCCATGCCCTGTCCTGAGTATTAGAATGAAAAAAAGGGCATATTATAAGAGAAAGTTTAAACAGAGATGGGTTTTTTAAAAATGGATTAATTCTTTGATCTGTCCCGACGTGACCATTCAGTCCAGCTCATTCCTGCACGGATGGAGTTGCTCATCTCCCTGTATTTCCCTCAGGGAAGGATGTCTGCAAATCGACGTACCACGGCTGTGAACATATTTGTGTTAATCGTGGCAACTCCTACATCTGCAAATGCTCAGAGGGATTTGTTCTAGCTGAGGATGGAAGACGGTGCAAGAGTAAGTGATCTGAACTTGGCTTTCTGCTTGAATTTGATTTGGGAGCAATCGCTCTTTGGAGTATTTTCAGGAAACAAATCCCTCACCTCTGCTTCTCCCATAATGGAGCTTAACTGAGGCACCTGTGGAAAAACTTTTGGTTTTAGTTGATAGTAAGTTCACTATCCGCCAAAGGGCTGGAGTGATCTTAGGCTGAATAAGCATATCTGGAATGAGAGAGGCAAGATTTGTCCTCTGCTCTGTACTGGAGAATTACGTTCAGTTCTGGGCATTACATTTTAGGAAGAAAGAGATAGATCTAAGTTTATTTTTTATTTTTTTTGAAGATTTTATCTATTTATTTGACAGAGAGAGACACAGCAAGAGAGGGAACACAAGCAGGGGGAGTGGGAGAGGGAGAAGCAGGCTTCCCGCCGAGCAGGGAGCCCGATGCGGGGCTCGATCCCAGGACCCCGGGACCATGACCTGAGCCAAAGGCAGAAGCTTAATGACTGAGCCACCCAGGTGCCCCTAGATCTAAGTTTAAGCATTAAAAAAAGCCCTTCAAAGTAGCAGAAAAAAATCTTAAGAAAATTACTTTGTAATCTCAGAGTAGAGAAGACCTTTCTAAACATGACATCAAACATAAAAACCATTTTTACTTTTATTCTTTTAAGATTTTATTTATTTATTTATTTGTCAGAGAGGGAAAGCAAGCAAGAGAGAGCACAAGCCGGGGGATCAGCAGGCAGAGGGAGAAGCAGGCTTCCCACTGAGCAAGGAACCTGATGTGGGGCTCGATCCCAGGACTCTGGGATCGTGACCTGAGCCAAAGGCAGAGGCTCAACCAACTGAGCCACCCAGGTGTCCTAAAGCCATTTTTAAAAAAGAGAACATATATAGTGAGAGATTAAAGCTATGATATCTTTTTTTAAAACCTGTTATCAGAGATCAAAAAGGTTGATGATTCCTTATGTTGACAAAGGTATATTTTAATAGGCAGTTATAAATATATCCCTGGGTGTCTGAATCAGTACATTTAGGAGGGCAGTTTGGCAATATTTTAAAGGCAATTCCACTTCTATTTGTATTATATAAACATATGGATACACACATACATACATATATATATATACTTTTGTGATGTTTAAATTCTGTTCCATGTGCATGCATTGTTTTTTAGAAAAAATATTTTAAGGAAAAGGATAATGACAAGCAAGATTTAGGAAGTTCGGTACGATGTCAAGTGAAAAATAAAGGAAGAAATTGGGGATCTTTGTAGAAAAAGACTTGAGGTGCCATTCCAATACCAAAGTGACAGTCACTTCATTAGTGATTTATATGACACCCCTGGGGAAGGAAGGAACAGTGGGGAGAAACTGCAGCTCAGCATGAGGACAAAGACACTTTCAGGGAAGCTGTGTAATTCATTAGTTAAGATCATGAACTTCGGGTCAGACAGACCTGGACTTCAACCCCGAATCATAATACCTGTGTGACCTTGGACAAATTATTTAACTCTCTGAGTCTCAGTTTCTTCATCTATAATATGAGGATAACGCCTCACAGAATCATCATGAGGAATATAAAGGAGACCATGTATTTAAAGGGGCTTAGCTCAATGCTGGCACATACCAACTGCTTGACAAATGGTAGCTCTTATAACCAGCAACAGCAGAGATGTCCAGAGATGGGGCTTTACTGGCGAGGTGATGAGCTGTCCATCAGGAGGGGCGGTTGGGGCCAGGCCAAATGGCTCCTGGGGAGGGATATTACAAAGACGTAAGCAAAAGGAGGGCGGTACTAATGACCTTTAAAGGTCTTATCCAACCCTGAAATTCTGGAACTCTGTGAAAAAGAAGTTCTGAAGGCAAATCACAGACCCAATGGTCTCCTTAACTACAAAAAGAAAATGCCCAAGTACAGTTGGAGCAACCCTCCTGCAAACAAGTAACCAGCAAGGGAGTTATCATTCTTCCTGCGCCTGAGAGCAGAAGTCTGGTCCTTCTTGTGCTGACATTCTTCCACTCTCTCCAGCATCCTTATTTCCCCGAGAAGCCTTTTGTGCCTCTCTCTGCAGAGAGGCTGCAAGGACTGATTCTGTTCTGTAAGAAGAGAGTGTGTGGGGAAGAGGAGAAAATAGACCTACTGCTGGACAATTATTCCAGTATTTCTGCAATCTGCTGGAGAGCCATGTACATGCTGCCTGAGAGTCTAATTTTTTTCATTCAAGTACAGGCTTTGAATGTAAATGCGGCTCTGACTTGGCCTTTTCCTCTTTTGCTAATAAACAATCAATAAGTTGAATAATAGGAACAAGTACTTAATGGAGAGAGAAGAATTCAACCCCCCAACAAGACACACACACACACACACACACACACACACACACACACACACACGTTAGCATGTTATTTGGGGGCCACGCACAGAAATAATTTGGCTTTTGTGTGTCCTTACTTGCTTATATCATTGTGCTCCACTTTCAAAAATTAGACAGCTACTTGATGTCTAAAAGAGAGCATTATGTCACATGTGTAGACTGTTTGAAATGAGATCATTCATTTGGGAATCTGTACATTTTTTTACACAGCCCTAAATAACGAAAAGTCTATCCACACCCAGATTGCCTAAGTATTGGCACAGAGCCTTCCTGTCAGCCATCTGAGTTGCTTGAAGAGCTTCCGAATAGATAAAGAATTTGCAGTGATGATTCATGTCTAAGCTTGAATAGGTCAGTGGGGTACTTACAGGTAGGCTACCTAAAGGACACCACGTCCTTCACTTATTCCATCCACAAGCATTTATTGAACCACTCGTGTGTGCCAGGTCTGGGGGCACAGAAGCGAATGAGACGTGGTCCTTGCTGAGGAGGAACTAGCAGAGCAGAGAGACGGGCATGTAATCAGGTAGCCGGTGTGCGGGGTGTTGGGCTAACCGACTCCGAGGGGCTGGAAGCAACGTCAAGTCAGGGATTTTGCCTCGGTCCCTATTGCAATCCTGCTGTGCCTACTGCCTTGCATGAAGCAGGTGCTCCAGAAGCCAGTTTTTGTCGAATAAATTAGTAGTTGTTAGGAGTACACAGAGAGTCACAAATACAAGATGGATGACTAGGAAAGCTCTCTGGAAGAGATGATTACTGAACTGAATTTAAGAATTTCCTTCTCAGGCACCTGGGTGGCTCAGATGGTTAAGCGTCTGCCTTCGGCTCAGGTCATGATCCCAGGGTCCTGGGATCGAGTCCCGCATCGGGCTCCCTGCTCCTTGGGAGCCTGCTTCTCCCTCTGCTTCTCTCTCCCTCCCTCTCTCTCTCTCCTCCTCTGTCTCTCATGAATAAATAAATAAAATCTTTAAAAAAAAAAAATTTCCTTCTCTGCCGTCTGTCAGAATGCCCCCACTGGGGTGATGTCACCCTCCTGGAGTGAAGTTGTAGGAATCTTTTGGGTGCTGTCAGGCCCTACAGGGTACTCTACACATAGTCCCTCGCAGACTTGGCTGTCAGTGACCCAGAGTACAGTGTGGGCCCGGTTTCCCTGACAATCTGTACCTCTGTTGTGTGATTTTGCTTGTGAAAAATACTCTTTTTATCAATTTAACAAGCCACCGAGAAAGGCAAATGTGAAAATTATTGTGACTCGTGACTCTCCCAACCCCTTCCGTCCGTCCTGTGTATTCTCTAAAGAACCAAGGTGGTTCTCCAAAGTGGTTCTGCCTCCAACTGAAGCATACTTGTCTTCTACTCTAAGTGAGTTTTGGTCATTTGACCATCTCAACTTTCCTTTCCTTCCTGTAGGATGCACTGAAGGCCCAATTGACCTGGTCTTTGTGATCGATGGATCCAAGAGCCTCGGAGAAGAGAATTTTGAGATTGTGAAGCAGTTTGTCGCTGGCATTATAGATTCCTTGGCGGTTTCCCCCAAAGCCGCTCGAGTGGGGTTGCTCCAGTACTCCACGCAGGTCCGCACGGAGTTTACCCTGAGGAACTTCAACTCGGCCAAAGACATGAAAAAGGCCGTGGCCCACATGAAATACATGGGCAAGGGCTCCATGACGGGGCTGGCCCTGAAACACATGTTTGAGAGAAGTTTCACCCAAGTAGAAGGGGCCAGACCTCTCTCCACACGGGTGCCCAGAGTGGCCATCGTGTTCACGGATGGACGAGCTCAGGATGATGTCTCAGAGTGGGCCAGTAAAGCCCAGGCCAATGGTAATAAGGGATGGAGATGTGGTGTACATCACTCAAGGGTCAGGTTTCTCAAACTCACTGGGTGGTCAGAGGTGGTCAGGCCATGGGTGAGAGTCTCTGAGCTTTGGGAGAGGCTGCCTGTCAAGCGCGGATACCCCTTTCCTGCACTGCCACCTAGAGGCCGTAAAGGGCCCCGCGGGAGTTACTGGCCCTGGGAGGGATGAGTCCCGCTGACTGCGCTGGTTGGTAGTCTACACCCACCACACGGGCGATTTCCTGGCCAGCAAGTGACCTCCAGTGGAGAGGAGCGACTCTGCACGTGCTCTTTAACCACAGATGAAGACACAACCGTTCCCAAACACTGGTCTGGTTGCTTTCGGGTGATCTGAAGAGTTTGGTAAAAATAGATGCTTGATGGGAAGAACTTTTACTGATACTTTTTTTTTTTTTTTAAACCAGTGCTTCAGGTGAACACTCCGAAAGCGCAATAGCTTTATGATAGCAAATACCCTTGTGGTTGGAGGAGGCAAAAGTTAGCTTTTGAGAAAGTCAAAATGTTGGAAGAGATTATGACTAAGTTGTTACTCAGGAAAGCAAAGCCTGTTCTCTGAGGTTTGCCTGACTCGTGTATAATGTGGGGGAGGGGAGGACTGGAAGTTACTTTAGTTGTGCATAGATGCGGACCGTGGCAGGGAAGCATGGCCCTCAGAAAAGGAAACCCAAAAGCTAGGATGGTTGGTAGAGCTAGAGTAAGGCGAAGTGACTGGATTCCTTGGGGAAATGAGAGAACTTGAGGTTTTGAAGCAATTTGCTTGAAAGCGACTTTCTTCAAAACTTGTAGAGGGTACATTGCTTTAGCAAGTCCTATGAGTGGGGAAAGGGTATGCAGACCAGGGCTTTGTCTAAGATGTTATGGGCCCAGTGCCTAGACCAGGCCTGGCATGTAGTCCATGTGTGACTAATACTTGCTGAGTAAATGAACAAGGAGAGAAAGTACTAGCAATCCCATTAGTGAACTCCATTCCTCCTCACAGAAAGGCTGGCTCACACTGACATTCACTGTTTGTGAAGGAGTCCGTTTTACTGATATTGTTTACCTCATTATTGACACCTTTTTCTCTAGCCCAATAGAATAGTAGCCACAAAAGTGTCCTGTTCTGAATCCTCTGAGTGGACTGTAAAAATGGCTGCCATACCCAGTTCTTCTGCTTCCAAACCAGCTTGAGAGCTGACATCAAACCCATTAACCCGCCTAGGCTGCATTTTTAAAGTGTACTGAGGGAAGTATCTTGTCTCCTTTTATTTGTTTCATTGAAATCGGTCTACCTTACTCTTTCCCCCATTCAGATTTCCACCAATAGCCCAAGAGCAGGTGGTAGAAGAAACTGATGTTTATTTGGTTCCAAAATGAACAAAATTTACTTGAAGTGACATCCTCTGATGAATTTAATTACCCCTACACAAAGCTAATATAATCTTAAAATAGTAGTTATCCTTTTTAGGAAGTTTGCATGAAGTCACTGGGCTCCCAGACAAATATGTTGAACTTGCCTATTGACCCTACACAGACTTAGAACAAGGCATAACTCTTGCCCCTTGGCTTAAAGAGCCATTTTTATGTGTATTTTTAAAATCCAGCCTAATGAATTAGCCAGAACAAGATTATCAGTGCTAAAAAATTTTGAAAATGAAGGAGAATTTAAGTTCTTATTGTGTTTTACTTTCAAGCGAAGCATATATGCAGGAAGGGAGTCTAATGACTTCTGTTGTTTAGAAAAGCTTTTGGAGCAATCTCATATCTCTTGATATCTAAGGTTGGTACTTGGGTTTATTCTTTCTTTCTGACATGGGGGATTTCCAGTGGTCTGCAGATTTTCCTTTTCAGCTCAGCACCTCCTCATAAGGCTTTGTCTTTCAAGAGAAGTGGGTAGAATGCAGCTTGACCTGCACCCACCCCCCCATCGTTAAAGGTTCCTATCCTGTACCTTTGAGAAGTAGAAACTAGGTTAGAAGGTCATAAAAATTGACCTGCTTCTTAGAATTCTCCCAGAAGAGATTCCCATTTAGTAAGCAGTAAGATGGTGCTTTTTTCTACTTTATCCCCAAGGCTAATTCAGGCAAAAGTTGAAGGTTTGTTCAATGACCTTGCCCAGAGCTGAGCAACAGGTTGGTGGTCTAGCTCCCAACCTCCCCTAGATGCCTCACCTTCCCCTTATTGGAACCCCCTCTTTTGTTCACAGGGCCAAAATAAAAATGGTAGAAAGATAAAGGGAGGTTGACCTGGACCCTTCAAGTCACACCACCTAACATCCACCTGACTTTAGGTGCGGTTCACACAACTTCCAGACCCTGGGAACACAGCTCTAACTACCTTGTTCTTCATTTGCTCTGCAATTTAGGCATAACTATGTATGCTGTTGGGGTAGGAAAAGCTATTGAGGAAGAACTACAAGAGATTGCCTCTGAGCCCACGGACAAGCATCTCTTCTATGCCGAAGACTTCAGCACGATGGGAGAGATAAGTGAAAAACTAAAGAAGGGCATATGTGAAGGTACTGTAGCCAACCTCGAGGAGAGCTCTTCACACAGGGCAGCATGAACCCTTGGATGAGAAATTCTCAACATATTCCTCCCAAGTGCTCAGAAAAGCGCCTCCCTGGTGCTCAGGGCCAGTAATGCCTGCAAACACTATGCACAAAAAGGGGAACAGGAGAGAGAAAAGACGAAATTAATAGCTAGCACTGCATGAGCACTTACTCTGGGCTCGGCAGTGTGGTAAAGATTTTGACACACCAGCATACTTAATCCCCACGAAACCCCTATAGAAACGATCGTTTAACTAAGACACAAACATTATACATGTCACAGAGCTGAGGTGCGATTTCAGGAGATGCCTGTAATTGGGGGGGAAAGGGAGGGTAGTCCTTTCAAATGTAAGGAACACGTGGCTGCAAAGAGTGCTTTGTTTACAGAACACAAGCTTGCCCTTTAGAATCTAGATTTTGTTCTGTCCCAGAGCTCTCCATGCTAATCTCATTGGGCCAGGATGCTCACATAGAGCACCTCTGCCCCGGCTCCCTACTCCTGTCCCAGGTTCAGTCACCAGTCAAACCCCAAGCGAAGTGATGTGTTTTACTCCTCTGCAGGAAAGAACAATGAGGGAGGGGGATGGGGAGGGAAGGCCTTTCAAACTTCTAATGCAAGGAGAGATTTCACCTCTAGGCCGGTTCCTTCAAGCTGAAATGCCTCATGGAGGTGTTGTCCCTGCAGCTTTAGTCCTTGGTCAACGTGAACCTTTCTCCCACCCCACCTTCTAGGCATGACATTTAGGGGGGGGCATTCTTTTTTTTTTTTTTTTTTAAGATTATTTATTTATGTATTTGACAGAGAGAGACACAGCGAGAGAGGGAACACAAGCAGGGGGAGCGGGAGGGGGAGAAGCAGGCTTCCTGCGGAGCAGGGAGCCTGATGTGGGGCTCGATCCCAGGACCCTGGGACCATGACCTGAGCCGAAGGCAGATGCTTAACGACTGAGCCACCCAGGCACCCCTAGGGGGGCATTCTTAACTAAGAGGCACTTAAGGGGTCCAGGTTTCTCTTACTAGAGAATGGCCCTAGCGGTGTCTTGGATTACCCTGGAAACCAATTGCTTTTTTGAAACTGGTGTTACCAAATAAAACCAAAACACCCTGGGTGAGACCAGGTAGATGGGGAGCTGGTCTGGGAGGAGTTTCCTAAAGAACACACATGCATGCAGACAATTATCACTCCCATTGGTCATCTTTTCCCTCTCAGCTCTGGAAGACTCTGATGGAAGTCAGGACTCCCCAGCAGGCGAACTGCCGAAGAAGGGCCACCAGCCAACAGGTAAAATTCTAAAAAGCCAACAGGTAACTTTTAAAAAGCAGTGTTTCTAGAACCTTTGGTGGATGCTTCCAGCATGGTTTCCCCCAGACAAAAGTCATAAAGATGTGAAAGTCAGTAAGATTTGAATTATGTTAACTATGGCTTTTTTTCCTCAATCAGATAGGAAACATTTACTCTATACTTTAAGCCATATTTGGTAATAGCCTCTCTCTACTGACAAGTCTTTTGCCACAGTATGTCCCAAAGTAAAGCTTGTACCACAGCTAGGAATACGAAGTACGTTACTCTGACTGCTGATGGCTTGTTATAAGCACAACTGTGTTAAGCAAGTTTGACTTCAGTTTTCTTTCTCTTTACAGAATCTGAGCCAGTCACCATAAATATCCGAGACCTACTTTCCTGTTCTAATTTTGCAGTGCAACACCGATATCTGTTTGAAGAAGACAATGTTTCACAATCCACACAAAAACTTTTCCATTCAACAAAATCTTCAGGTAATTCCAAATACAGTATTGCTACCAGGTGGCTCGATACCAGCCTCTTAGCTTGCCAACCAGACTCAGCTGCAGGGAGGAAAGGAAAGGAGGAAGTAGGAGATGGGAAAGGGGAAAAGAGAAGGGCTTAAGTGAAATGAGAACTAGAAAAACTAACTGAAAGAAACCGGAGTAGCCTTCACTGCAGTCCACTCTAACGGCAACTCTCAGTGTTGGAAGCCCATGCAGCCCTCTCCTGGAATTTACTAGATCTGGCTGCGTGGAAAAAGTTGAACATTTCTTTCATTTTGGTTTCTCCCCTATGCTGATTCAGTCTTGTTATTATGCATCTGGGAAGTCTGGTGAGTTACAGAGGTGAGTGAACACTTTCCATGTGCTTTCTCAGGAAGTCCTTTGGAAGAAAAACACGATCAATGCAAATGTGAAAACCTTATCATGTTCCAGAACCTTGCAAATGAAGAAGTGAGAAAGTTAACACAACGCTATATCCTTTCCTAATACTATGCTTGTGTGTGTGATGCGAAGAATTTCACCAGACTTCACAAATACTGTCCCTGTGGGTATGTCTTAAATGAAGTTATTTCCATAAAGCCAAGAGTAGTGAACTCCTAGAAAGGCTTTTTTCTTAAGCAACCTGCTAGGTGTTTGAAGGCCAAGGGCAAGCCAAGCTTCGTGGCAAGCTTGGGTCAAGCACTTGGTTGCTCTCTGCTGTTCTAGGGGTTTAGCAGTGAGGCCAGCCAGTCAGTATGCAAAGTAAAGAAAATAGATTTAAAATTTAACTTCCTCTCTGCTGGGAGGAAAAGGAGGATATGTACCAGGTCTGATCTCCATCAGAGGTATAGTAAGTCTAGGCAAAGAATGTAGAATGATGAGTTTCAAACTCCCATCTAAATTCCAAACCTTTTGGGGGCGCCTGGGTGGCTCAGTCGTTAAGCGTCTGCCTTCAGCTCAGGTCATGATCTCAGGGTCCTGGGATTGAGCCCCGCATCGGGCTCCCTGCTCCGCAGGAGGCCTGCTTCTCCCTCTCCCACTCCCCCTGCTTGTGTTCCCTCTCTCCCTGTGTCTCTCTGTCAAATAAATAAATAAAATCTTCAAAAAAGAAAATTAAAAAATAATAATAAAATAAATTCCAAACCTTTCTTTTGGCCCCAAGCCACATTGCAGCCATAGCTGGTAAGCATGTGGTTTCTAGAGGACTGGGGTTTTTTGTTTGTTTGGCAGCAATGATCTTTTATATCAGTACTCTAAGATGAAACATTCCATCAGGGGACAGCAGAATCCAGTGATTGATTAAACCAATATTACACATAAAAGGAATGCTTTGAGATAATGGAGACATTAGGATTCAGTGTTTCCCTAACTGCCCGCTGCTCTGAACTCTGAATTACAGTGAGCTTACTAGCGCTGGCTCATATCTACCTCAACTCCATCAACTAGCCTAGGGGAAAAGGTTCAATTCCGAACTCTCTCTGTGCCAATGGGTTTCTATCATAAGGAACAGATGTAGCAACTCCCTTTCTGAAAGCTGGAAATATGCTCCCCTAAGTAAAATAATCTGACAGTGGTTAATGGAGGTGACGGATCCAGGCTCTCATTCTGCCAAGGGGACTGGGGGGAGGGTATTACAGAGCTTATATAAAAACAGATGCTTGTTCTAATGCCCCTCTCCTCTCCCTTTTCCCACCCCATTTCTGAGGCTCTGCTTCCCAAGACGAAGGACGTTATAGATAAAAGAGCACAGGTCAGAAGTCTTCAAGGCTGCTACCCTTTGGCCCTATCTGGCCTCCCAGGTGAAAACTGCCCCATCTCTTTTCTCTTGTGACATCATCTCTTATTAAGGCCCAATACTTCTCTTCACTACATTCCCAAAACTGTCATTTCTGGCTTCTAAAGGTATGTTATGGCAAACTAATTTACAAGCAAGATAGGTGAGTAGAATTAGAAAAAGGTTTTTTAAGAATTTTGGGGCACCTGGGTGGCTCCGTTGGTTAAGCCTCTGACTTGATTTCGACTCAGGTCGTGATCTGAGGGTTGGGAGATCGAGCCCCACCCCGGGCTCTGTGCTGGAGGTGGAGCCTGCTTGGGATTCTCTCTCTCCCTCTCCCCCCACCCCGCCCCTTTCTCCCATGCACACATTCTTTCAAAAAATAATTTTAACTATTTCTGTTAAAAAAATATTTAACCTGAAAGATTTGTAGTCTTTTTTTTTTTTTAAGATTTTATTTATTTGAGAGAGAGAGAGCACAAGCAGGGGGAGCAGTAGGCAGAGGGAGAGGGAGAAGCAAGCTCCCCGCTGAGCAGGGAGCCCGATGTGGGGCTTGACGTGGGGCCTGATCCCAGGAACCTGAGGTCATGACCTGAGCCAAAGGCTGACACTTAACTGATGAGCCACCCAGGCACCCCAAGAGATTTATGGTCTTGATAGCATGTGTTAAACGGCTTACTATAAACCTTCAAGTCAGAGTTTAAAAATTTTTCCAAAAGGGAAAATCCAAAGGCTTGTATCTTTCAGGACAGATTTTTATGTAGCTAAATCAAGTTGTATTTGAATGTAAAAATAGACAATTCAGATTCCTCTTCCTTAATTTGAGAGTCACTAGAAGAAATGACACAAAGGATGGAAGCCCTGGAAAATCGGCTGAGATACAGATGAAGATCCGAAATGCTCTACGTATTTGTCCATCATTGTATCAAGGGTTACAATGAAAGCAGCTTGGGCCCCAAAGCTCAGGCTATTGTTAAGTCTATAAAGTTGTAAAGTAAAACATAACTAGTACTGAGAAAGCTGGTTTGCTATAGAACACAAAGGGAAAAGTACACACTAACTTGTTTAAATTTGAGAAAAAGTGCTTCAGAACCCTAAAATGAGATTATCAAGTGAGAACAAACAAGCTATGCAAGATATTCTGTAACATACTGTGGACATGATTTGCTTTTGCCTTGTCCTGCCTTGAGTGTTGCGATCTCATTTGACTACAAAATAGTTTGCAGTCTTACTTCTGTAGAACACTGGCTATAGAAAAAGCTATTTTTTTTGTATTGGACTTTTATCTTGATATATGTATATGGATGTATGCATAAAATCATAAAACGTATGTACTTGTGTAACAAGTTGGATTTTTTTTATACAATATTAAAATTCACCACTTCAGAGAATGGTATTCTGCCTAAAATTCCTAGTTAACTTTGAATGCAAGGTATGTGTATATGGGAAATGGTCAATATGCATTTGAAAAAAAAAATGTTGACTCTCACTGGCCATCTGGAAAACACGTTAAAACCATCAGCTTGGCAAAATTAGTGTCTGACTACAGTGTTGGCAAGGATGAAGAAAATGGGGCTCTTGTACACACTACTGAGAATGCAAATGGGCATGCTCTTTGGAGTATAATCTGTCAATACCTAGTAAAACTGAAAATGCACACAAGCCTGCACTCTAGCAACTGCCCTCACAGGCATCTAACTAGAGGACTTTAGCACATACACACAAGGAGACCCGTACAAGAATGTCACTTAAGTTTCTAAGTCACAAATTGAAAATAACCTAAATCATCATCAGAAAGGGAACTGATAAAATTGTGGTGTGGTCCCTACCTCAGAAATACCATACAACATTTAAAAGGAAGGCACCAGACCTACATGTATAGACAGTAAAACTCAAAGATGAATTTTAAAAAGCCAAAGGTAGGGGCATCTGACTCTTGGTTTCAGCTCAGGTCATGATCCGTGATCTTGGGGTCCTGGGATGAGTACTAGTGTGGCTCTGTGCTTAGCGGGGAGTCTGCTTGGGGATTCACTCTCCCTCTGCCCCCTTCCCCAGCTCATGCACTCTAAAATAAATCTCACAACAACAAAAATGAAGACCCCCAAAATGACATCCTTTGCATGGAAGCTACTGTATTTGAGGCCAAATGATACTTTTTAAACAGAACACCTTCAATAAGCTTATATTTAACTATTTCAAGATGAGTGTTTTCATCAGACAGTTCTCCCAAAGGGCAGTGTGGCAGAGTGGGAAGAATATCTCTTAAGCTTCAATCTTACCTGAAAATCATGATTCTCTCCAAATATAAAAGTTGTGATCTAAAGTATTAAACCTTCAGTTTGTATTTGTATTTGAGTCATCCAATTGATCCTGAACAGGATTTCATTAGTAAGCACTGATTTGGGTTGGCATTACCTTCTGAGAGGTACTCCTAGTTCAGGCATTGCTTCCTTGGCTCAATTGTACTTCACTTTCTGTTGAGTCCCAGCTCCCTCTAGTGGCTCTAGACTGCACCCCCCCACCCCTTTATTTTTAGCCATTAAATACATTTAATCATAGAGTTTTCAACTTTCTTCATCTTGGGGAGAATGCCTTCAAAGGAAACAAAGGCCTCTAACCAATCAGTCAAATTTACATATTAATCTAAGATATTTACTTGAAGATGGTCTAAAATCTGAAATACTTCCTCCTCTTCCTTGTTTTGCTATCTGTTATGTCTTAGGTGTAAAGGTTTTACATTCAGGTTTATTGTGGTGACCTTTACAAGCCTTGATTTTTTCATCTGTCAAATGGGACTAATAGTACTATCTCACTGGATTGCCAAGAGGATTAAATGGGTTAATGTGTACATTACTTAGTAAAGTATCATTTTAAATACTCAATTATTAGACACTTTTTATTCTTCAGCAGCCCATGATATCTGACACAAAGACGGTAATTTATATGTATGTTCAGTGAATGAATGAATGCTTTGCTTACCTTATCTAAGTGAAGTACTTAGGCAGATTCCCACTCCTAAATTACCTTTTGAAGCAAACAGGTAGGAAGTAGTAAATTATAGTAAATGTATAGATGTTCAAGACCTACTATCAACAAGATGAAGATGAAATTCTGGCCTAGAAGAGCCACAAGCATTATTAGTGAGAATTAAGTAAATGTTTAAGCCCTAAAAGTCATTATTCACCCTGGTGTTTGAACTCGTGATATAAAGTTGAGTCTGTCCTCTAGGACCTTAGTGAGAAACAGGTGTGATTAATGCCATAAAAGTTCTATGGTAACTCAGAGGCACCCAATCTAGACTAGAAGAGGATGTAGGGGTAGGCCTGGAAAAGGAGGGCAAGGGGGAAGGAAACCAGATGCCACTGCAAACAGGGGAGCCCAAGTGTTAAGGGGCAGCTGGAAATAAGATTTGCAAGCAAAGAGAATTGTTTTCCATGAACCAGATCTTCCCAAAGGCCCAACTAATTGCATTCAGGACCAGCCTAGAGTTTGGTTTCTTCACGTACCTTTTGCCCCTGCCACGATACCATACCAATTGCAATTAAACACTCCACAATAACCAGCCTCTTTTTTGGGACATTTCTATCTCCAGACCTAACGGGTAGCTCAGTACAAGTATGGAATAAATCTAGTTGGCTGGAATTTCCTGCAATCCCCCGCATATTAGAGATTCCCAGCCAAACACATTACTTTGATTATAATCAGAAAATAACATTTTAAAAATACCTAAAACTTAGGACTCCCCAGATCTTCCTGGCCAGTGGTATTTTCTCTAATTCTGACAGCATTTTAATAGCACTTCATCACAGCTGTCCCAAGACAGAATGAGTGAGAGGTTTCCCATCTACAAGCTTTAAACTCCTTTTCTCTGAACTTTAAATTCCTTTATTCTTAAATGAGTGCACGAAAAGCACAAAGGCAAAAGCTGAATGACCTTATAGCATATTATCACCACACAGAAGCCCCTAGAAATCACAAAATTATTTCCCAGAAACCATCATTCCAAAATGCCTGCAGCCAAAAGTGCTGCAACAGAACCATTACAAAGACATGGTACACTGGTACCTGCAATATTGTGTTCTTCAGGGACCACCCCTTAAGAAATTAAATTGTAACAAGTCAACCTGGAGGGAAAAACAATCCAAAATTAACCCATATCGCTGCAAGCTCAATTTGAAAGGCAAAATTTACCAAGTAAGTAGAAAGTAAGCACACAAACTTCCTTAACCCAAAGACAAACATTTCTAACAACTATGGAACAGACTAATAGCATCAGAGACCAGCAAGCAATTCTTTTCAAGGACAAATTTTAAGCATTTTAAAACACCTTGGGCACAAGTCTCTGGATATGAAAATATGAGCACTTTAGAACATTTAACAGATTTTTGTATCTCTGTGGCTCTTAACCAGGAGATGCTACTTTGAAAACGTGGGGTAACATTTGGGGGAATCATTACAACATGGAAAACCATGAGAAATAACCTGCAGTATATCCAGTCCTCCACAACAAAGAATTGTCCCATGAAAAAATGTCAGTAGTGCTCCCAAACTGATAAAATACTGAGTAACTGAACAACCAGTAAGAAAACCAGTTGGTAACAGCTATTCTTCAAATTATATCTACAACCTCAGATTAACTTCAGACACAAACTAAAATCATGCAGTATTAACCTATTCCCTTACCTAAAAAACTGGGAATTTGACCCATCTGTGGTTGTTCCATAGTGATTAAAAAGGAATCTTGTGACTCCAAGTTCAGTAAATACTGGACACTGACATTCCATACGGTATACTGATGGCATCCTCATCTCCTATCCAAAACTGCCTATGAGAGCCGAATAAGATCTTAAGTCCAAAAGACATGGTTATTTCTGACACTGTTGCAGCCCGAGAGCCCAGCACAGATATCTATACTCTACCAGCAACATTTGACTCTCTAAATCAGGATATATCTAAATCAGTATTTTTCCCCAAGTAACTCCTGGAAATGTCCCAACGGAAGTAACAGATTTGGGAAAAGGGTTCCCATCAGACATATCTGAGAGACATGGTATGCAGTTTCCCAAAAATCTGAATGCTAAATATACTTCACAGTGTATCTTATCTTCTAAGAATAAAATGATATAAAACAAACTTTGGTCAACTGTGGACTTAGCACTTACTGAAGATCTGGGATTCTTCTGAAGTGCTCCAAGTACAGATCTTCTACTTCAACCACTACACACCCTTAGGAAAAATCCTTCTTTATTAAAGTTCAATAGAACTTTTCAGACACACAAAATTTTGGGAGGGGAATACGTATTTCATTTAATCTTCTCTGCTAATCAGATTTGTAGATTTAGGCTGGGATTATAATTCTGGTTAAATTCTGGGTATTGATCTTTGCTGCCTCTCAAACATACTCAAATATAATACGCCAACAGGATCAACAATTTTAAAAGACTGGAATCTTTTAAAAATCTAGTAGAGGAAAGGAACTCTGCACTCCCTTTACAAAAAGGAAAACAGAAACTGGGACACACAGCTCTTAACTCAAAAGTCTTGCCACCACATCTAACTGCCTCATCCTCTCAAATCCTATCTTCAGGAAAGTGTATGGAAACAAAAAGATATAAAGAAAAAAACTGCAATGAATACAGTGCAAGCTGTGGCCAGTTTTATTAAAGAAAAATTATGCGTGATTTACTTTTCACCAGTCTGTTCTGGCATGCTTCGAATGATATCAGAATCACCTAGAAAATAAAACACAACAGTTTTACAATTAATTTAATTGCAACTGGTAATCATCAAATTAGCAATGGCTATCTCCAAAGGTTGTGACACTAGCTTTGAGGTCATTTCTCAAGGATAATCAGATACTGAGTCACAGGCACTTCCCATATATGATACATCATATAATCAGACTTGGTTTATCACCGGCATTGTTAAAACCAGACCTAGGGAAAGAACTAGGTCTGGGGACACATGCATGGTCTTAATATAGCGAATGTTTAGCCTGCCCTGATTATTACAAAATCAGAACAGCGAGAATATTCGCGGTATTTTATGAATTAAAAACTCGTAAGTTCAAAATATAACACGATCTGTATTTGTAGGCACTTCTTCTCAACTTAATTTTACCTATCTGTTCTTAGGCAGCCAATAAGGACTCCTCTCTTCCACTATTTCACCTGATTACTCTCCACTTTTATAACTTCACCTTTACCAAGGTCCTAAATTATTTAAGTGCTTCAAACAAAATTCATTTCGAAGTAAAAAAAATTCACTTATAACAAGAACTATTACAATGTACTGATACTCATTATCAATTCTCTGTGAAATAAAACTACAGGATATCCCTTGCTCTATCCAAATTCTCAATATCTGAACCTAGGAACCATAGACATTGGTATAGCGAAGAATACCTGTAATTGTATTATAAAGGAAAAAAAATTATTCTAGGACTTAAAAAACATACCTGGATCAATGATAGCCAGTGTGCATACTCTGTAGTATTTCCCACATGCTGTGCCCAATTCAATATTATTGCCACTGTAGTGATGGACACCAGTTTTGGCCAACATGGCATAGTATTCTATTTCAGATTTCCTTCAGAAACCAAAAGACAAATAAATAAATACCATAACAAGTGACTGACAGATAAAATGTTACTACTTTCGTCATTAGTTTTAATGTTGGTAAGGCTTTCCAACAGTAACTAAACCAGTTGTTACTCTTTAAAAAAAGTACCACATCCATTAGCCAATACAAACCATCCTTCCCTTTGATCCCTTATATGAAATGGGACAATCACCAAGTCACCTTCTGACTATCTATGTTTAAGACTATAACTATGCTCATGGAAAAGAGAGGAGGATGTGAAATAAAAGTATTTACTTAGCAATTACTAGTCACCAGACACTTTATGTTATATAATTCCACAACAACCTCTTAAGTAGTATATATTCCTTTTTTTTTTTTCTTTTTAAACTAATGAAGACATTCAGGCACATTAGAGTAAGTGGAGGTTCCAGGATCCAAACCCATGTTATCTTTAAAAGATAAGCTATTTCTCTGTCTGGTGCTCTGAATCCTAGATGGGGAGTATTACTTACACAGAGCTAACATTTCTGTGTCAATTTGAGTAGATGGACATTAAAGGTTTTACAAATCCTTCTGAAGGGAGTCCTAACAGAACAGTACCACTACTCAAAATATAGATCCACAGACCAGCAGTTATTTGAGTGCTTGTTAAAAATGCATTAATATCAGGTCCCTACCCAAACCCATGAAATCAGAACCCGCATTTAACAAGATTACCAGCAACTGTGCACATTCACGTTTGAGAAGCACTGTCATAGAAGATAGGCTTGAAGACCAAACCATGGGATGGGATGGAGGACGGAGCACTCCAGGAAAACCAATTACATACAGGTACCCTATACAAAATCCTGTGAGCAGGCTATGCATTACCACAGAAAAATCAATGTGCTGGAGGGGCTGATCATGCTGCTTATATTCTGCACAGTCCAAGTTTCTTTACCTTATTTTCCATACTAAGTTCAATTTCAAAACCGTGAAGTCAAGCAAAAACCTGGGGAATTAGGAACCTGCAGCTCCACGGCCAGCCTGAACTTTTCTTATCTTAGCTTTTCTACACTAAAACGAGTTCGAAAAATTATGTATTTTAAAGAAATGACCCAAACGGCAGGACACAAAACACATGGTGAAACAAGTAACGTGTCTGTGCTTCCCTCCAACTTTGATGTTCTGTGGTTTTTACCCCTCTGCCACACATTTTTCCCAAAGACGAGCTTACACAATAAGAGAACATGATGGGGGGCCGGGGCCGTCAGCCCCAACCACCACAGAAGAAACCGTAGATTCTTCTCCAAATGCTCGCTTGTAAAACAAATTTTACGTAAAACCGAGTTCGTACTACCCAGATTGCCCATGGTAACACTCATGGGTATTCACTCCGATCAATATACAGTGGGCGACACACACCCTCAAGGTTCCTTCGATTACCTCAAGGCTGGGCAGTTGTTGGCGAGGATGACCAGTTTCGCTTTGCCATGTCTGATCATTTTCAGAGTCTGCTTGTACCCCAGCACGTACTTTCCACTTTTCATAACAAGCTGGAGCCTGGAGTTGATCGACTCCAGCGACTTTTTCTACAAAGCAAACATTTAACACGGATTTTAAGGCTTTTTTTTTTTTTTTTTTAACCATCTCAAAACAGCATCCAGCTTTCTGGAAGTCGAGCCCTTTAATAAACCTCCCAAGTCTAGGATCCGAAGTCACCGAGAGGACCACTCGGTTTCCTCTCGGGCCCCTCCATGCCAGTGGGCATGCTGTCTCCCCAGTGTGCTCAGATCTGCCCGCCCGGGCCGAGACTCAGTCCTCCACGTGAATCGGCTTCCAGCCCTGGAGCGTTTCACTCACCGTCTTCTTTGCGGCCACCATCTTCCTGCCTTAGATGCGGGACGGCCCCAACCTGGAACATAGAGAGGACAGGACAGGAAGTTTAGGATCGCAGCTCCAAACAGCAACGCGCCGGGATCCCCGCGCTGCCTAAACGTCGGCCCCGCAAAGCCCACTCACCTAAAACCAGCCGCCAAAATGGCCGGGAGACAGAAAGGAAAGAGTTCCCACAATGCAAAGCTCTTCACCGCAAAGCCTGGACGCCGGAACCGGAAGTAAGCCGCAAGCGGAAGGGGAGGGGCAAGGAGAGGAGGGCCGCTGGCTGCTGCTGTTTGTATGGCTAGTTAGAATGGCGGCAGACCTGTACCCCTACTCTTGCTGCGGGCCTTAAAGTTGTGTTAGTCTGTTGCTCCGAGCTGCGAACTGAGGAACCGGGGAACGTTGAACCGGGCGGGAGTTGGAGAAGCCGACTGAGAGAGGCGGGAGGGACGGTGAGAAGGGGCGGCGGCGGCTGGACCACGGTCTGTGTGCGGCGGAGCTCATCTATCCTGAAGCCGCGGCTCTTGGAGGGGACTCCAGTGCGCCTCAGCTCCTGGGTCTACCCTTCCGCGTCACTTCCGCGCGGGCCGAAGCAACTGTGCGCCCTGCCCTGCCCTCGCCCAAGTTGCCGGCCCGCGCTGACTTCCCCAAACTCACCTCTTTAGTGGCGGTGTTACCGTAACCTTGTAAGCCGAATCTTCATAGAGCAATAAACAGATCTCTTTGACAGATCTTTTTGTTGTGAACGTTGGGCCCTGATATAAATGTCCAGTGACGGATCATTAAAAATAGCGAGCACAGAGCGTCTCCCACTAGTACCCAAAAAGTGTAAAATTGGACCAATAGGTAGTAAGCCGTCATCGTATGTCAACTTTTAGGAATATATCCTACAGAAACAGTTTCTCAAAGTCATGTGAACAAGGATATTTATTTCAGCATTATCTTTAACAGCAAAAGAAATTAGAAACAACATCAAATGCTCATCATTCTTAATGTATGTGTTTGTATATGCATAGAAAATTCAAGTCTGGAAAGCTAATCGTCAAAACTCACCACTGGATGAGGTATGAGGAGAGTAGGTGATGAGAAGACATTTTTTTACCTTATGTATTTCAGTACTACTTGAATTATTTTACAGCATGCATTGTTATGTAAAGTTCCTTTTTAATAATAAAGTGGTGACTTTAAATAGGTCTTGCGAAACACCAGTTATATCTGAAAGCAGTATTTCTGAAAGTATGGCTCCCAGATCACCTGATAATCACCTTGCATTCTGACTCTTGGACCCCACCCAGGTATGTAGAAGAAATCTCTGGTGGAGCATAGGAATCTCAGTTTAATATGCAGCTTCGGGGATTCTTATAAATACTAGTATTTGAGAAGTAAAGAACTAAAGAATGAGGGGCACCTGGCTGGCTCCGTTGGTACAACATGCAACTCTTGATCTTGGGGTCCTGAGTTTGAACCCCATGCTGGGGGTAAAGGTTACTTTCAAATAAACACAAAAAACTAAAGAATGAGATAGCCAAGTTGGGTTTGAGGCATGCCTGCTTAGGTAAAGACAAAAACTAAATAATGAAGCCTTTTACTTTTATATTGAGCCGTATATTTTCAGAGCTTTTTTAATACTTTCTCTCAAAGTGATCAGGGTAGATATTATCCCCATTTTGGAGATTAAATGATTAAAGTACTTGATAAGACTTTCCTGGGGTGCTTTTCGCTATACGATAACAAGTTTCTGGTTCTTACTATATGTGTCCTCGCTATACTTTAAAGATCCCAACGATCTTAATAGGGTTTTGTACTGGAAGCCAGAGAAGCCCAAAGCACTTATTTTATGTATGAAACGTACCACAGAATGTTTGAGAATTCTTCTTAGAGAATCTTAACTGATTTTGCTGTATCTCTTTGGAGACAGACTTAGGTTCTTGGTTTTTCTATTTAATATCTGCTTGACTTGGGGCAAATTGTCTAAATTCCCTAAGCCTCAGTTTCTTCATCAGAAAACTAGAATAATAGGTCTACCTCGTAGTATTGTTGTGAGGATCCCAGTAAACGTAATGGTGTATAAAGCATCTAGCACTGGGCCTTGTACAGAACAAATGTGCGGTGAATATTAGTTCTCTTCATCAGTCCAACTCCCATCTCGTCAACCTTCCTACCACAGCCGCCTGCCCACACCTAAAGTCTTTCACAACATTACAAAACCTATATATACGAGGGGAAGAAACAGCATGCAAAAATGACAGTCCTATCTTTTGACTCAAGAAGATTTTATAAAATTTTCGACACTTGTATTTAGTAGAGCAGGAATTGGCATACTTTTTCTATAGAGCCAAAGAATAAATATTTAAGGCCTTTGGGGCCATATGTTCTCTGGCAACAACGCAGTTCTGCCATAGCACAAAAGCAGCCACGGGCAATATATAACAGCTGTGTTCCAATAAAACATTTACAGAATCAAGTGGCTGGTGAGATTTGGCCTGCAGGCCATAGTTTGCTGACCCCTGTGTTAAAAGATTACTCTTACTATTATTAAAAGTAACTGCTTTAAGTCATGTCCTTATTCCAAAGAGATGTATGTTGAAGTATATATGGATGAAGTGTCATGATTATCTGCAACTTATTTTTGAATCGCTAAAATAAAGGTAAATAGAATCTAAAATAAATGAAGGTAAACAGGTAGGTAGAGCAAATGCAGCAAAGTGTTAACAACTGTTGAATTTAAAGTGGAGGGTATATAAGTGGTGGTTGTACTATTAAACTTTTGAGTTTGAAAATCTTCATACTAAAAAGTTGGGAAATATATATGCTTTAAGAAGGGATTTTGCCATCTAGATATTATTTTGTTTATTCTGGGTATCAGTTGGTAGCATTTCAGAGTGATTTTGAAAAAATATCAACAGGTAAATGTGATAGAACAGAGTTAACACAAGGCTTTGGTTTTCATTCACCAAAATTGCTGCTCCAAGTTTCTGAGAACTCTGCAGGCACCTACATTCATTGTGCTTTTGGTTTATACTTGCTATGGGAATTAAAAGTGACAGGCTGCATTCCCTGTTAGAGCAAATACTAAGAAGTTCATCTGGTATTCATTGGTTCAGTACACTGGCCCATCCCTTATTGTTAAGCAGTTAAAACTATCATATTCATTATCATCAGCTATTAGTTATTCACTGTCCAGATTAGGAAGCGGCCCATTAGTACAGTTGACCCTTGAACAACTCAGAGGCTAGAGGCACTGACCCCCCATGCATTTCAAAAATCCATGTATAACTTTTGACTCCTCAAAGACTTAACTACTAATAGCTTACTGCTGACCAGAACATCCTTATCGATAACATAAACGGTCGATTAACACGTTTTATTTTTTAAAGATTTTATTTATTTGTCAGAGAGAGAGCACAAGCAGGGGGAGTGACAGGCAGACAGAGAAGCGGGCTCCCTGCTCAGGACTCAATCCCAGGACCCCGGGATCATGACCTGAGCTGAAGGCGGATGCTTAACCGACTGAGCCACCCAGGCATCCCAACACATTTTTTATATTCTATGTATTATATACTCTATGATAAAGCAAACAAGACAAAAGAAAACATTACTAAGAAAATCGTAAGAGAAAGTACATTACTGTACTGTACCGGAAAAAAAAATCCGTGTATAAGTGGACCCTACCAGTTCAAATCAGTGTTCAAGGATCAACTGTAATTTAGAAGTCTATTTGTTTAACTCAACCTTCACATTCTTAAGTCACCCTGGACATTATACATGTTCAGAAATCTGGTGAAGAGAGGAAGGGACGGTGAATCTAAGTGAAAATATCTTGTAAACCTAATGAATGTTGGTCACCTTCCAACTAACTAAACACATACCCCGATACAAGAATTCTGAACCATTAGAGGACAATAATAAGGAATCCAAAATATTTCTCCTATGCCCCTCTCTTTTCAGACTAGGAATGCTCCAGACTGCACTGGATTAAAAATAGGCCAGAGAAATGCTTTCTCCTTTTTTTTAAAACCATTTTTCCATCCAAGGAGCATATGTTTTTTAAATACTCTTGGATACAAAGAACCCAGAGTACTTCATTCTCTATTTTACTGTGAAGGAGTGACACTTGGAACATAGAGTGATGTCTATAAATGTTTGTCTTTGGGTTATTTTATATTTCTTAGAGTCAGTTTTTAAAATTTTAGTATAAATGGGATTCCTATGTTTCTAAGTGTCTATAATATGACATTTTACATATTATTTTCAATAATTTGAAAAGCTTGCCATGTACATGTACTTTTATCCTTAATAAAGGTGTGATACACAGGCTAAAACCAATTTTTTTGCTTTTACCTGGACCTTAATAATGTAACACTCTATGTCATGCTGATCAGAAAATGTTACTGATTAGTTAATGGAGAAATAATAAATGCAAATTTGGGACAACATCAAAACATGAGTATGTTGAAGAAAAATGATAAAGGAAGTGAAAAGATTTATGACCATGCCTTCAAGATATAACACATCAAAGTACTATCAGCATTTAAAATGACAGTATCAGTTATATTCAGGTATTATCAAGATAAGACTGAAGGAATAAGACAGGACAGGTAATTGCTAAGAAGGAGAGTGGTCAGGGAGAGGGGAAGTAGGGTAAGTATTGTATATTAGTCTAGATAATTAAGTTGTAAGCAACAGAAACAAACTAGCTCAGTTAAGCATAAAAGGAAAATTAGGTTGTAGTTCACCAAATGAATAAGAAGCCTGGAGAGCAAGACCCAGATCTGTGTATATGGTCATGGAAGAAGCAGTCCCATTTATTAGTCACTGGTTCGAAACATACTCTGCAAACCATAGGGCAGCACCCTAACCGTCAAAGATGTTTTCTCTTGGCTGGTGCCATAACTGAGTGTTTAATTTGCCCCTCCATCATCCTATAGGTTTAGCTTCTTCTGGATGTGGAGGTAGATGAAAAGGCCAGTAAATCACATAGAAATTAACCTATTACCTTACTTGTCTCATAGTAAAGTGAGTTATTTGATAAGATACAATACTGAATGTAGTGTCTTGGTGTGTAATGTCTTGAAGATACTATCCTGATGTGCAGGAAAAGCAAATCTAATCCAATGTATATTAAAATAAGGAAAAAATACCAAAGAGGTTCAATCACTCTTTCTGTTTCCAAAGAGGTCTTATCACTCATTCAGGAAGTGGCTGATCGGCCCTTCAAGGTATAGGTACCATTTCGGAGGCTTATAGTTGGTCACTCTTAGTGCTACTGGCAAACTGGGCCCTCAGCCAGGTAAACCATGTTAAGTGGAGGAACATGCAGTTGAGCTCATGTATGTCTTCTTTCTCTGTTCTTAGAGCCATCCTATTCCTGAGCCCGTTGAGCAAGCATTGAGGTGGCTCATGAAAAAGACTAACATCCACAGGACAATGGATTATTATTGTTCACCTGATTATAAAATGCTTCCTCTGAAGAAAATGGAAGAGACCATGGCTTGGCTGACAAAATTATCTCCAAGGAAAAGTAAGATACCCCAGTGAACTCCTAAAAATTAGTTGATGGGGAAAAGTGGGTACTTAACTGGGCCCAGTAAGCCCTGGTTTAGCATGAAAGCATTAAGATTCAGAGAATTTCAAGTTAGTGTTTATATTTAATCTGTGAGTTTTTGTATCCCTTTTGAGGAAGAATGGAATTTTGAAAAACTTTCACTAGCTAAATCAAATTAAATGTGACTTTAACTTAAAAAAAAGCATCTTCTGAAGTGGGAGCCTGCTGTGGACTGACTTGTGCCCCCTCCCTTCCTCACTCATATGTTGAAGCCCTTACCCCAATGTGATTCAGTGGGGAGGTAGGGTTGAGGAGGTAGTTGGGGTTAAATGAGGTCATAAGGGTGAGGCCCTAATCTGTTAGGGCTGTGGCCTTGTAAGAAGAGGAAGTCTCAGGGGTGCCTGGGTGGCTCCGTTGGTTGAGCATATGACTCTTGGTTTCAGCTCAGGTCATGATCTCTCTCATGGGTCATGGGATCAAGCCCCGCATCAAGCCCAACACTCAGCAGCAGAGTCTGCTTGAAGATTTTCTCCCCCTGCCCCTCCCCCCACTCGCTCTCTCTTGCCCTCTGTCTCTCTAACATAAATAAATAAATCTTAAAAAAAAAAGAAGAGGAAGTCCCCCGACCCCCACCCCATGTGAGGACACAGTGAGAAGGCTGCCATCTGCAAGCCAGAAAGAGTTCTCACCAGAAACCAAATTAGCCAGTACCTTGATCTTAGACTTCCGAGGCTCCAGAACTATGAGAAATAAATATGTTATTTAAGCCACCCAGTTAATGGCATTTTTGTTATGGCAGCCCAACCTGTGAAGGCCTTTTGATAGCATTTATATAAGATATAAATATTCCCCAAATTATGGCCTATTCTGAAAGGTCCATCCCCGTACCTCTCCCCCTTAAACTTCCTTGTGCTAATCCTGTAATTTTGCTCAGTGACTTGGAATCCAGCCAAATCCTTAGCCACTTTCAAAGTACTTCTCTTTCCTTGGGGCACAGTAACCCTGATTAGAAGGTTAGGAGGAAAGTTATAATACGTATGTGTAATGTTATAAAGTGTACTTCCTCAAAGATACCCAGTCTTCTCTTCATTCGAAGGGATTTGTGAATTGATTGCTGGGCAGCCCAGGCTCTGTCAGGTCTGCACTGCGGGAGGGAGAGGAAGAGGGGGAAGAAAGAGGAGAAGGGGTAGGAAGGGGAGGAGAAGTGAGGTAGAGAAGGAAGGGAGGGAGGGAGACCTCTAAACACACCATAAAGACCATAGCTGTGTACCCCCATGACCCGTATAGAGAAATATGTCAAATTGTAGACAATTTGAGTATCCAAATTAATAGGTGTAAGGATCTGAATTGTGCCCTCCTCATTCATATGTTGAAGTCCTAACCGCTATAGTTTGTAATATGGCTGTTATGGAGACAGGGCCTTTAAAGAGGTAATTAAGGTAAAATGAGGTCATATGGGTGGGCCCTAATCCAGTATGACTGGTGTCCTTGTAAGAAGAGACTAGGACATAGATACTTATACTATGGGAAGACCATGTGAAGATATATGGTGAACACTGCCATCCCAACCAAGGAAAGGCCTTCAAAAGAAACCAACCCTACTGACACCTTGTTCTCTGACTTCTAGTCTCAGAACTACGAGGAAATAAGTTTTTGTTGTTTAAGTCAACCCATCTGTGGTACTTTGTTATCGCAGCTCTAAAAAACTAACACAAATGGTAACATGACCCATTGAATAATGTAAGAATTCATGAGTATTTACTGCTGTAAATAAATGAATAATAAATGGAGGAAAAGGGAAAGTGCTCCCTTACTGTAGAATGCCAACTAATAAATGTAGAAGGAATAATATAATTGGAAAACCACTATTTGATAACCATCATAGTAATAATTGATCCCAGCAAGAATATTAATGTAGGCTAACAGCAGATAAAAGTTTGATGAGATATAGGATGTTAGTCTTAAAGTCTCTCCCCATAAATTACAAGGAGTAAAATAGTAACGTTTTGGTGGCAAACTTGGCAGACACTACCTTAACTAACTGATCAAAGTTAACATCACCAGTAATTGAGCAAACTGACATCATGTGCTCTTTTTTTAAGATTTTATTTATTTATTTGATAGAGACAGAGAGAGCAGGAACACAAGGGGGGGGGGTGGGAGAGGGCGCTGAGCAGGGAGCCTGATGTGGGGGACTCGATCCCAGGACTCTGGGATCATGACCCGAGCCAAAGGCAGCCGCTTAACGACTGAGCCACCCAGGCGCCCCAACATCATGTGCTCTTGATGGGAATTCACAGATAACATAACATCTTGCATTCCAGCCAAAACTGCATTGCCTGAAAACAATCATAAGGAAACACCGGACAAACCCAAATTGAGAAATATTCTATAAAATAAATGGCCTATTCTCTTAAAAAAAAAGTCAAGGTCATGAAAGACAAAGAAAGACTGAGGGAACTACTTCAGATTAAAGCAAACTAAAGAGAGGCATAACAATTAAATGTAATGTGTGGTCCTGGATTGGACAATTGACCAAACTTGAATACGAGGTGGATTAAATAGTATCTCAACAGCAAACTTCCTCGTGGTAACAGTACTGACGTTATGTAAGAATAAGACTGCCATCCAAAGCTAGTCTACCAATCAATAGCCACAGGCCACAATCGCCTCCTCCCCTCCCCAGCTATTTAGTGTTGATTCGGATGAGCCCTCCCAGCCCTTCGCTCTCTCCGGGATAGCGTCCCTATCCCTGCTACTGAGGCCTTTTCCCTCTCCTCCTTGACTGTACTCCCCACCTTCTGCCCACCTGGCTGCCTGTCCCTGTCCTCTCCTGCTTCCTCGCTCTGGCGAGGCCCCTCGCTGACCCCCCCCCCCCCCCCCCTTCCCCCTCTGCGCGGCAGCCTACCTTCCCCAGGTGCGCACCGCCACCGCGGCGCTCCGCCGTGCGCTTGCGCTCCGCACCCGAGGGAGCCGGGCGGGTAGAGTTGGAGGAGCGGCGGCGCCGCCGGGGCGGTTTGCGGGGGATCGGAGCTCCGGCCGACACCCGCGCCGGGTTGGGACAGGTGGCTGCGCTGGTCCACAAGGCCGCCTTTCTGCCCGCGATGGGCTGCTCCAGCAGCGCCCTCAACAAGGCCGGCGATAGCAGCAGGCTCCGCAGCGGTGAGCAGGGGACCCGGCCCCAACCCCGCCCGGGCCTCGGGATTCGGGTCGGCTTGCTCCCCGAGGGTCCGAAAGGTGCGACTCGTGTCCGCCCCGCCCGGCAGGGGGCGGGCTGCTCGCTGAGGACGGGAGTGCACCCTGAGCGCAGCGCGACTCCCTCCGGAAACCCGGAGCGCGGCTGCTGGAGCCGCGGTGCGGAGGTCCCGGTGCGCCCCGCCGCGCACGCTGCCCGACGCGGGAGGCCAAGGGCCGGGCCTCGGGTTACCCTACTCGACGGGCGATCGGGAAGGTGGGGTTAAATCCCTACCGCGGTTGGCCGCAGGTTCCCTTAAACAGATGAGTATTTTCCTGCCCTTACAAGAGGTGCTCTTTCATTTCCTCAAAGTACGAACTTTCAGATTATATAAAGCTGCAAATTCACTGGGAACCATTAGTTTCTGGTCGTAAGGAGAGACGTGGTACCTCTTTTTCTATCGAGAGCTTGCCCTCTCGTCCGCATTTCAGCATCAGAGATGATAAAGGATGCGCAGAGTACAGGTGGACATTCATTCCATCAAGTAGGTTCCTGCACTTTTGAAGAGGTCAGATACACTTTCCCCTATCCTTGGCTTCGGTTTTTCTTGACAAATATCCGTGCGATAAAAACTGGTCATAACAAGTATATTTTGAACGTCTATTATATGATAGCCACGTGCCTGGCTAGATGCTGGAGATACAATTGACCCTACTTTTGGGGGTTAGGGGTCTAAGTTAAATGATTAAGATCAGTTTCTGACAGTAAGAAGTGCTGTGAAGAAGAGTAAGAGCCCATTAATGAACTAGAGAATGACTGGGTTTTATATGCACTTAGATTTCGAATGGCTAACATTTTAGATCAAGTTTCGAAGGTTAAGCAAATTTCTTCAAGTTAGTTTGCATCATATTCAAGACTAACTCTAGGGGAAATTGTATATTCCAGTTAATTCCTTTTCAGAGGTCTTTTAGCACCTTGTGTTATTCCAATAACACAGAAATGTCTTCCTCTCTGATTTTGTAGTAGAGAGCACAGGGTTATTGTGAATGCTGTTTCAAAGTTCAGACACTGTGTCCTAGTCAGAGGTATGTTGTGTTGCATCATCTTCGTGGTGTATGATAAATTTATTTCGAATTTCAGTAGATAACAGAAAGCAGTAAAAAGTTTGTAAATAGGCAAAGTCATTAAAACCATATATAAAAGTGATTCCAAACCCTTTGTCACTGAAAACAATGTGAAGTGATGGGAAAATCCATTCCTAACGTACACTACTTGCTAACCTTTCTCCTAAAGAAACAAAAGCCTCTGTACCCCAGACATGCTCTCAAGAGGCCAGTGCAAAATAATAATAATAATAATAATAATAATAAATTAAAAAAAATTTTAAAGAGGCTAGTACAAGGAGCAATTTCTTTGATGTTTCATTTTATGAAATCAGGTAGATTTTGCATTCTGCTCCATGATAAATCCTTGTTGGTTTCAATATGAAAAGCTGAGGAAAGTTGATGCTTCAGGAAGATACACCATATTTTGGTTTCTCTTATCCCCTTCCGTGGCCCCAGATATCCCAGGATTAGCATACTGATTTAAGAAGCAGAGCACTAGGGGTGCTTGGATGGCTCAGTGGGTTAAGCCTCTGGCTATTGGTTTTGGCTCAGGTCGTGATCTCATGGGTTGTGAGATGGAGCCCCATCTTGAGCCCCTCCTCAGGCTCCACACTCAGCAGGAGTGTGCTTGAAGAGGCTCACCCTCTGTTCCTGCCCCCATGCATGCACTGTCTTGTGCCTTCTCTCTCTCTCTC